ATTGGGTGGCGATATGGTTGTCGGACTCTTTCAACCCAATCTGAAATATTAATAATCCCCCCAAATTTCTCAATATAATCCCTTCCAAATTTTAATTTTATAAACAATATATATTTTTCTTAGATTTATGAGAAAAAATCTTTTTGTGCTTTAATGATTCCGTCTAGTTTATTTAATAAAAAAGATAATTTGATATTACACTACTCAACAAAAAATAGGGAATACTTTGAAAATGATCAAAATTGCACAATTTTCAGATTGTCGAAATTCAGTGAAAAATTATTGTAGACAAAAAAATTTTTTTTAAATAAAACTTGTACTTTTTAAACTATCCGTAAATGAGGCATTGTTACAATTACTCTAGGGTAATCCAATTCTTATCGTTGCTTCATCAACATCTGCATCGAATCAATAGCAGAATTACCAGAAGCTTCTGTCAGCTGACTAACATATTAATTATCTGAGGGCTACGATTTGAATTAAGGAATTTATTCTTTATCTTAAACTACGTCAAATTACTATTGCAGGTATGGAGTATGCAAAATTTTTAAACATCAAATAATATCCCAGATAACAATTCGTGTGAGCTCGTATTGCTTTCACGCGCGCGTATATACACATATATCACATCGTGTCACACAGTAAAATCACTGCCCGCAGGACGTGATGAGGGCATGTGTGCGAGCGCAATGAGTCGCATTATGCAATCACGTCGTGCGTATCACGCTGTGTGCTCAACGTGCTATTATTATGCAGCTCGCACGACATAAAGAGAGCATGCGGAAATTTGTAAGCATTAAATACAAATAATTTTTTTTTTTCGAATATTAAACTATAGTGTCAGCACGCGTACGAGCGATGAGTCTCAAAGAGGACGCATCTGCGTACGTTATAAGAATCACACGCGTGAGAGTCCTGGCACGTGTGCGCCCACCATGCGACCATTTGCGGAAATTTTGTGCAGGCACATGTGCAACCAATATGAATCTCATATGATGACGCATATGTGTGGTGCTTGTTTAGTGCAAAAACATCAAGGTTTTATAGATATTATCCCGGAAAAAAATGTTTTATATAAAATAATATAAAATAATATAAAATTATATATAATTTCATATAATTGAATATATAGTAAATAGACATATTTTATATATTGTGTATTTATATATTGTGTAAATTATATAAAACTGTATGTACAATTCTATATTATAATATTATTTGAAATTATATTTTATATAATTAACATATACAACTTTTTTTCCGGGTTTTTTAAAAAGTTTTATTTGAAAATAAAATAATTAAAAAATAAATTCGTTTCAAATTTTATAAAATATTTAAATTTATAAATATGAGTTCCTTAGCTAGTTTTGGCGGTAAGTATAAATAATATATATGTAATAATTATAAAATATCATACACAACGCTGGTAGAAAAATTTTTCTGAAATTATTTCACATTTTAGAATAATTTTTATAAAATACAACAATAGTGTAAATAAAACTGACATTTAGTTGAATTTGTTTCTTCCTTTATTTATTTAAATTGCCCTATTTTTTAGTTGAAGTAAATTTCAAATAAAATACTTAAAAGCGTTGGGAGCTGCTGGTAACAAAATTGAAATATAATTCGGAGTGCAATGGGTTTTAAATAAAATTTTGATTAACACAGAAACAGTTTTTTTCAATGAAATATCTTTTTTTACCTTTTTTTTAAACTCGAAAGAAGTGTAAGTAGCCGTACACAATCAAGCCGTTACGCTCATTACGATCATTGGATTTTTTAATTGTTTAATTATTTTTTAAGAGAATTTTCAAGCTTTAAAAACAAAAAAAGACTAACTTTAAAGAAGTTAATAGGGTAAAATTAATGTTTTTTTCAACATAACAAGTTGAAGTTAAAAATTAACTTATTTAAAATTAATTTAGTTATCTAAAAGTTATAAACTTTTGAAATTTATTATGTAACTTTTAACTTTTTTACACTAATTACTCCCTAATCTTTATTTTGTATATTTATACTTTAACTTTTATATTCATGATCGATTATACCTGCTATTGATGTTCGCAATTGTACTGCCGTTTATGTTGCAGATGAAAAATAACTGAGCTCTTTAACGACAAACCGCTCTTTATATTAACGTCACCTTTTATATTATACATTATAAGAGGTGGTATAATCCGATATCATTATCATTTCATCTACATTGCTGACTAAAAGTTTTAGACTAGATTAATTAATTGAAAATGTTTGTTATGTACATAAAAATGCAACTTATAAATTATAATCTAACGTATTTTTATTATTTTACTCATTTTATAATGAATTGTGGGAAACTCTAGAACTCAGAAAGGAAATTAAAAATCATTTTAAAACTCGTGTAAGAGCTTGCGTACAATTTTTGTAACGTAAATCTATTTTTTTTTCATCATTAATCTTAATAGTATCAAAATATTACTTTTGATATTTTATAACGATAACAGAATAGTAACAGAAAAATAACTGAATAATAATTGAAAAGTTACATTTTGAGCAACTATTGATGCATTTCCTTTCACCCATGATGCATCATTTATCCTTGTTGTAGCCGAATGTTAAACAAAGATAAATGATATATTACGCATATCATGCGTGAAATGGAATGCACCCTGTAATTCATTACTTTTTAGGATCGGTAACAGTAAATAATTCCTTTATGAAAAATAAATAGCTATACTATAACTGACTATTTTCAAAAAGTTCTTAGGTAATCAAACGTGATTAATTATATCGAGCAAACCAACTGCATGAGTGTTGAATAGTTATTGTTTGTTTGCCATCATCATATCAAGTATCTTATTATATTAAGCAACATGAATGATTATACAAGTATTTAGTTGATGGAATTTTGAAAGCAAGCAATCAGAAATATTAATATGGTATGTTACTAGCAATGTGACGGCAACAACAGAGTGATAATGTCTCCTTTTGTGTGTTAAATATTTGTCTTCAATCGTTGAAAATGTATAGTTTATATTAGTAAGTAATATGTATACACAATATTGTGTTATTTTTTTATTTATGCAAGCATAATTGTTGTAAATTTTTTAAATACATATTTCATTTTTGTACAGTCTCTGCCTTCCAATCAGAAAATTTAATGAGAACATTATTTCATGAATCTTATATTTATTATCATTATACACACGCACGCACGCACGCAAGTGAATATCTTTTATTTAAATGAGTGAATTTAATATATTCTTTTATAGACACAACAACAGGAAACACGTGTTTTTTTATACGTTCTGAATCGCACGTCAAGGGGATGAAATATTCCCTCGAAAAAACTTGGTTTTTTTTTTTCAAATTGAATATCGTCGAAATTATCTCAGAATGTTATAAGAAGAAAATAAACAATTTTTGTTTCTTACAGTTTCTCTGTAAAGTTCATAGTATTTGAATATAAAATTATTGAAGATTTTCCAATTTTCGGCAATATTAAACCACCCACGTAGTGTATTTATGTACAAACATAGTTAAATTTATTTATACAAATAATACAAAATCGAATCGGAAAGTCCTCTATCATTTTTCAATTTTCATTATAATTACGAGATATTAATTCCTAAATTGCTGAATAAGTGGATAAAATTGACGCATAAGACAACTTTAAAATATCTAGATAGTAGAGTTCTTTATGAAATATCTTAAATATGTTTTTTAAACTCTTTACTTTTTAGAACTCTTAAAGATATCTTAAATTAAGTTGTTTTATGTATTTTAGATGTTAGATATTACACTCATTATATAACTAAAAAGAAAAAGCAAAGTGATAAACGACTTTTCGACTCGGTCAAAAAGTTTGGGACACCCTATATAGACTATATAAACTATGTTTTTGCAGTATAATTTGCAAGGTGATAATTAATGTTATCATATGAACATCATTAATATTTCTTTGAATGCCATCATGTTGCTGTGAACTTGCTGTTTGTTGCAGACGACTTCTGATGGCAATAAAGTGCCGTTATGTTGCAGTCAGAAATCAATTCGTTGAGAAAATATACCAATGTCAAATTACCATCAATTTTCTGTAATCTGATGTCGAATTCATATAAGTACAACCTAAAATACACAATAACAAATTAGAAATTATCAGTAACATGACAGCAACATTTCAGAGACATTTGGCTATCTGGGTTATTTTCTCAATTCTGTGTATCATTATATAGGCAACATTCAATCTAATGAATCATTTATAAAGATATTTAAACATATTTTATCTCATAATTATTTTAAATCCGTATTACAAATTAAACTAATCAAGACTCCTCATAAATTAAAGGACTGAAAAGGGCAGTAGGAGTTAAGCGCAGAAGACGTCGCGCAAATAATATATCTATGAAGTGTGAAATTTCTTTATTCACTAAAATAATTATTTTATTTGTCTAAAATTTTTGTCACTTTTTCTACAAAAAATTATTATTGATATTTGGATAACGGAAAATTTTTAGAAGCAAAGGTTTTAATTATTCATGTATAAATGACGTATATAAAGTAGCAGTCACCTAAGTATTATAATATAATAGGTCACGATAGTAATGAAATGGATATTAAGATGTGTGAATCGTGACTGTCCAAAAAATTGTTATTAATTATTTATGAGGAGTCTTGATTAGTTTAATTTGTAATACGGATTTAAAATAATTATGAGATAAAATATGTTTAAATATCTTTATAAATGATTCATTATTAATAATTATTATGAAGCTATGAATAATTATTATGAATGCCATTTTGATGACTCTGCTTTTGCTGAGATTATATGCTAATGATATTGAACAATGAAGTAGTACACACATACTAAAAGTAACATATTATGATAAATGTCATAATTTCACTTTCAATAATATAATTGTTTTAAGTTACAACGTTACGCAATAAATTTGTTAACAGTTTCAACATATTAACGTCTTTATAATATGATGCTTGATGGTAGCATTAAATTGCTTGTCACATTCGCGATTACTAAAGTAGTTTTAATTCAGTTTATAGTTCAGAAAAACAATTCGGCGCGCAGTTTTAAAAAGACTACAATATGATATATATTGAAGTACACATATAGTGTACATTAGTAATTCAAGATTGAATTATTTAAAGCAATGAAGATTCAGCTTCGACTGTAATAGCTATTTTTCTAGTATCGATTGTATTTCTCATATGTACATATATGCGGTCTAAAATAAAAATTCTTAATATTGTCTAAAATATTATTGCAATATTGCTGCAATATTTCGTGCTGTTGGGATCTTCCCTTCTTCACGAAAAATATTTTTCTATTTTACTTTAAAATTAAATTCACAAAATAATCTTTGATAAACAATTAAGTGAGTTAACTTATATTAGATATCAGAATATTCAATGTATACACACGATTTTTTAAGGGAACCTAAACAATAAGTTACGTAACGCTCAGTGGGCGGTTTTTCATTTTGGCAGTCTAAAAAATTATTTTTAAAGTCTTTCTAAAATCTTTTTAGATAAAAATTCAAATAATTCTTAATTCAAAAATTTTGATTGAATTTGGAATTTTAGATTTCATCACGTTTCTGTAATCTCTTGATATTTAGTTTTTCAACATTTTATCTTTCAGTAACATAGTTTGTATGGCACTTAATGTATCGATCAACACGAAAATTGTCAAATACGGAAATTTCAGGACGAATATATTATAATAGCAAGCACGGCGATAAGTTGAGCGTGCAGAATCTATTGTACGTTCATACTTGAAATAGAAAGCACGCGCGGGAAAGCGGTTACAGGGAAGCTGTTCACCAACATCTTCTGGTGCATCATGCATTCGCTGAAAGCGGTAGCATCAGTGATGGCAAACGACTGACACTGTTTCGAATGCTATGGATATGACATCATCATCGATAGTAAGTTAAAACGGTGGCTGATCGAAGTGCATTGATTTTCCATTCTTCGTAATATGTCCTAAGTGTCCTCTTGCGATAAGTTTTTAACATGTTGTATTTCCAATATAGCACAGAAAAATTGCAGAAACATTGTAAAATGATTTCACTAAAACATTGCAAGATTGTATGACAGTTGCAAAACGTTGCTAAATCATTGCTACAAGATTCCAACAATGTCAAGATGTCCGTTTTTTTAAATATTGCAACGAAACGTTCCAGCAGCATTGCAATGTAATGTACCTCTACAGCATAAAAGTTGCAGCAACATTGCTGCAACATTGCATATTGCAGTAATATTGCTGCAAATTCTGTGAAAATAAAGTATTTGAATAATTTTTTTACGGAGACTCTAAAATGAAAAGTATTTCCGATATATGTGATATATCACTAATTTTATTTTCTACAAAATGCATTTCTAGTGACATGTGCTTTTTAAAAGCAAAATTAACCATAAAATAAACATTTCAATAAATGTAGTATTAATTCTGAATTACATTTTTATACAAAAAATATTTACGAAATTTTAACTAGTGAAATAATACAAATAAATATTTCCAAAATTGTTAATATTTTTTGTATAGAAATGTAATTTAGAATTAATACTACATTTATTGGAATGTTTTATAATTAAAAAAAAAATTGCTTTTAAAAGACACATATATCAATATAATATATATACAATTATTTTTGCGAATGCATCCCTTCCACTCGACTCTCGATTGGTTCTTGTTTTTGATCCGAAGGCATTCGCGGTAATTAAACATCATCGATCACATATATAATTAATATTTCAATAAGTCGTTTTCAGCGGCGTAATTAATTGCTTATCATCTTTTTCGATAATGAAGCGTTGATTTTCTATCCAAAATTGACGTTATACAAAAAATTTTTTGATCTCATATTTAAAATAAACATAAAATTTAGCTATATAATGAAATGTCAAATAATAAAATACATTAATAAAATAAATTATGTATTTGAATATAAAAATGGATTTTATTAATTATTATATCATAAAAACGATTGTTAAACTAAAAGACTACATAAATATTGTAAAAAATTATAATATTTATATTATTATTGTATAGTGACAATTAAAGAATTACAGTTTTGCAATATTTCTGGAATATTACAGGCATATTACTAGCATCTTGCAGGCATATTGCATA